TCATTCTTTTAATCCAAAGACGTTGAAATCTATTAACGGATTCTCAAACACCCTTTCACTAAAGTTGTAACCGTTCACTAAATCTCTCTACTTGAACTATATCCCATCTCTTCTTGCAGGGAGAATTTCCAGCTCAAGTAACCTATTTCAGATAGCAACATATGCCCAAATAATGCATCAGGTTGGCATTTCAAACCTGGAGGTATTCAGGCCAGTTTGTGGACAAGGGATAACATAAGAATAACAAACATAGGCATATCTCCACAACAGCAGAAAGGATCCTTTGGAAGGTGGAATGTATGATCAAATTGTTTATGCACTTCATAAGGGATTGAGCATGTTCAAGCAACAACAGATAAAAATGATAGAGGTAGAAGTGGATTCATCAAGTCTAGATAACATTATAAGGAATTTCAAAGAGGATTCAGCAGCTGAAAGTTTGAGCCAATAAAGTTCAGTTAAATGAAAATGAAAAATATGTTCAGTTAAATGAAAATAAAAAACATGTCTCGGGAAAACTGGATATCCCAGATTCTAATGTTTTACTAATTTAGTAAGTGTGTCCATTTCAGGGAAAAAATATAGATTAGAACATAAACGCAAGCCTGCAAAACCACACAAGAACTATATACTCTTTAATGCATTTATCTACAAAATGGAATAAAAAGAGACATCATAAGAAAAACAATGCAAATATTCACCAAACAATCAAAGAAAAAAGACAGAAATTTGACCTACATATGGAACTATGAATAGTTGGATACACCTTAAAAAAAAAAATTACATGCCTAGTCTTCGAATCATATTACAAATCGCAATAGCATTTTGAATTGTTGTGTGAAATCTATTCTCTCCTTATTACTGAAGGTAAAGGTGGTGTCATCTTTTCATCTTTACCTTGCATATGAGATTCTTCTTCAATTAAAGAAAGCTGCCTTTCTGGACTATAGTATCCCTTTGAAAAGCGGCTTGGACTTGGGGAGTTAGGTTTCATAATATGTGATGGAGAGGAATGATAACCAAGAGAAGAACTTGGGCTGGACCTAAACTGAAATTCCCCATCTTCACGAGGCAAAGAGGACATTGGCAACTGATCACCTTTTTTCTTGTAGAACTTATCCTCCACAATCTCATATGAATTACCTGTCCGTACTTCCTGAGCTAGAGAACACCAACAGCAGAAAAGCCACAGAACGAAGTCACCGACAGCTGCTTTACCGAAACAAAAGTTATATGGAGGCAAATTAAATCTCTTTCTCATCTGAATCCTCCAAAAACCACCATATAGTAGCCCAAATACACAAAGGAAAATACCAGTAACACCTAATGCTGCCCTGACAGTATCATTGTCTATATTAACGGCAGCCAGGTTGAAAATCCAAAAAGGAGCCATACAAAATAAAAGAAAAGTAACAATGTGAACATACATGTTACCAAACCCAAGTCTCTCCATGTTCCATCCAAAAACACAAAAGCTACAAAATAGTGAGAGATAAGCTAAAGAAATATCATCCCAAAAATCAAGAATACCGCCACTCCACAGTGGTCTACTCTCAACGTTTCTTTCCTCATCCCTCAATGCAAATGAAAATCTCTTTTCAAGTGATTGTCTCCTCAATTGATCTGGTCGGCTACTTCCATCAGCAGTAACCGGAAGTTGTGCTTCTTCATCCAACTCGGTCTCATAGTCTTTCCCAAGTGGACTAAGCATGGAGTAAATACCAGCAATTGCAGGGGCACCAATTGCAACAGAGATACATATTCCAACCCCAATAGCTGGTCGCTTAGATCTCCTGTATCCCAAGTTAAGACTACATAATGCATATTGAGCAAAACAGTTAAGGTTGAGTAGAGCCAAAACCACCATCATATGTGCCCACTCATGGGGCTTATAAGTGCCATTCTTGCAGTAATCTTTTCTGAGCTTTAAAACATCTTCTGGCCTCCATCTCAATAGTAGGGCTAGGTGATATATTCGCTTTGGGTGTTGGTATAAACACATTAGGGTAAACAGTGCATTGAGAATTTGATTATTGACTTCAAACCAAATATCTCTTTGAGACTTCTTTGGTATGGCATGGTTCAACATTCCAATCATGACCATGAACAGAATAGCACCAGAGACAGCAACACAGGTAATCCAGATAAAAAGAGCAAGATGCATGGGATCCCTTATCCATTCTTTGCAAATTTTCCCAAGACAATTCCAATCAATTTTCCGAGAAAAAATTCTATTAAAACGTTCACGGATGTGAAGACTGGTAGAGGAAGGTACATTTCGAGAGACTTCATCCCTCTCCTCAGCAATACGCTGAAATTTTGCTGATGGAGAAGACAAATTACCTAACTTAAGGAATATTAGCCTTTTAGAAAGAGCTGAAAACCCATTGCCAAATTCACTTCCTGAATTTTCATCAGTTATAAGACCCTTTTGAGATGTAGAGACGTGCAAAGGAACATTACTTTTGACTTTTGTACTATTAGATTCCTGAGCTCCACCACTATTATCACCATTCTCGCTTGAAACCATATTCGCTTTCACAGCAGCGCTATAGGCTCAGAAAATTAATGAGCTCTATGTTAAAAAATCATTTTCAATAGTTTCTTCACTTGATTGCAAGACATTCAAATAACACATAGCTGTAAATTGAAAAGAAATGTCGAGCAATCCTCATATGTCCTAAAAAAATTTAAAAAAAATTATCTGTTTCCGTCAATTACAAACAAAGAAAACACTCAAGAACCCTGAAAAACAATTATCAAACTCAATTGAAACAGAAGTAGACCCATAAGCATCACACAAAATTGATCAAGGAAAAGCTCAATAGTTCATCCAAGAAACATTCTTTTTAGCTTTAAAACCAAAATTAATCGAAGAACATAAAGAGGATTAAGCAAAAAAATTTATCAGAAGTCTTAAAGTTATTGAAGCAATAGATTTTGGCAAGCCCGTCAAAAATATTAGCAAATAAAAATCTTAGATTCTTGATAGCACATGACACGCCATAAAGAAAAGTTCAAATTAATTCCGACAAAAAAAATCCAAAATTAGCAGATGGAACTTACAAAAGTTATGTATGAGGTGCCGATTATGAGCAAATACTTTTAAAACTCTGAGCTATTTAGCTGTTTTTTGCATCCATTGATAGTGAAGTTTCGGTTTCAAAGAGGAAGAAGGCACACCAATTTAGATTTTTTTTATTTTTCTTTCCATTTTTTAATTCTTTGGTTAATTGCCTTTTCTAAGCAAACTTCTCATCCAAAGTTGAAAAAGGCCATCGAAACAAGAGAAAATTTCAGTGGAAGTCCCCACATATTAGATTTATTATACAAATGGATTATAAACTTTTGTTTCTATCATTTAAATCCTTTATTTTAAATTTGTAATAAATTGATCTCCACTAATGGGTTTTCGCATCAATTGCAATAAAATGTCATTTTTTTTTTAATAAAAAGACAGCTTTACCTTTATTCTTAATTAAAATAAGTAGAAAAGAAGATTACACGTAAGGTTTTTGTCTCTAAATTATTCCATCTCTAAGAAAAATTAAAGAGAAGTAGAAGGGAGGACAAACTAGGAGGGGGAATGAAATCAATACTAAACTAGATCGAGAAATGAAAGGGACAAGACGACTAGAGGAGAAATCTTGACACCTCAAGCAAAGGGATAAAAGATAAAAATGAGATAGGGATGGCAAAAAGGTGGTGTACGAGATCAATACACCATGTGCATCTTGTCAAAAACTTTCAAAAGACATAAAGGTCAAGGTGAAAATAATATTTCCATTCCAATTTTGCTGTTAACCAAAGAATTCCATGCCATTTGAGATAGAACAACGCATTACTAACAAGGACAGGACATGACACCCTTTCAATGAGGGAAGAAGTAGAGTAGCAACAAGATTAGGAGAACTTAGGATTTGTATTTTTTTTTTATTTATTTCTTCATTAATGATCGATTTGATGTAATTTTTTAGAATAGATCTTGTGGAAGTGATTTTTGAAGAATGTGTTGTAATAAAAAAAAAAGTCTATATGCAAATTTATTTTATGTACTGTTAAAAAAAAAGTTTTTTGAAGAATTTCTTTCAAACAGGGACTTGAACTATCACCATATATTATCCAAAAAAGTCGAACATGAAAGATTTACATATTTTTCCAACGATAAGGTGGATGGAAACACTCTGCTAAGTGTTAACATCATGATATGACAAAATTGAAAAGTTAAAAATTTAAAAGTTGAAGACCAATTTACTATATAAGCTACAAGTTTGAGGGCCACTATTGCAGTTTTTCCTGGAAACAACCCAAAATCTCAATTGATCCGGAAATAAAAGAAAATGAATATGCTGTCAACATATTAATGATTAGTGATGTCAAATCGTGTCGTCCATGTCCTTAACTCTTATTATTTTAGGAATTATTCATCTTGGCCAGGGCCATGTCCTCTACTCTTATTTATTAGGTTAAGTATCTCCTATTTCAAAATTAATAATAAATATTTCGAATTTCAAATTTCAAATTTCAAATTTCAAAAATTTAATATTTATTAAAATTTATTTATGATTTAATTAATTAATTATGTGTTTTATTAATTAAATACAATAATGTCACAAATTTATATAATTTAGTCACAAATTAACGATTAGTTAGTCACATAATATTTTTGGATCACAAATCAAAATTTTTATATATTACAAATTATTTTACTGTCACAATTTGCTCATCTTTCACAAATAAAAAATTTATAACTCAATTTAATTATCGGTCACAAATTACAAATATTATATATTATAACGTATTATACAGAATAAATTATTAAATTATCGATCACAAGTTTAACAATTTTTAATGTCACGCATTATTTCTTGAAAACAGATTAACCAATTTAATAGTCACAGTTAACCAAATACTTTGTGACCATCACCAACGCTTGCCACTACCATCTTACCATTGCCTCCAGCACCACCACTATCGTCGTCGTCAAATCCACTACCACGAAACAACCCCACCCCCTCACAAAAATTCGTCAACAACACTACACATTGCCAAAGTCATCACCATCGCACACAGTAACCAAAGAATTCCATGCCATTTGAGATAGAACAACGCATTACTAACAAGGACAGGACATGACACCCTTTCAATGAGGGAAGAGTAGAGTAGCAACAAGATTAGGAGAACTTAGGATTTGTATTTTTTTTTTCCTTTCATTTTCTTTTTTATTTATTTCTTCATTAATGATCGATTTGATGTAATTTTTTAGAATAGATTTTGTGGAAGTGATTTTTGAAGAATGTGCTGTAATAAAAAAAAAAAAAAGTCAATATGCAAATTTATTTTATGTACTGTTAAAAATAAATTTTTTTGAAGAATTTCTTTCAAACAGGGACTTGAACTATCACCATATATTATCCAGAAAAGTCGAACATGAAAGATTTACATATTTTTCCAACGATAAGGTGGATGGAAACACTCTGCTAAGTGTTAACATCATGATATGACAAAATTTAAAAGTTAAAAATTTAAAAGTTGAAGACCAATTTACTATATAAGCTACAAGTTGAGGGCCACTATTGCAGTTTTTCCTGGAAACACCCCAAAATCTCACTTGAATATGCTGTCAACATTTTAATGATTAGTGATGTCAAATCGTGTTGTCCATGTCCTTAACTCTTATTTATTAGGTTAAGTATCTCCTATTTCAAAATTGAGAATAAATATTTCAAATTTCAAATTTCAAAAATTCAATATTTATTAAAATTTATTTATGATTTAATTAATTAATTATGTTTTTATTAATTAAATACAATAATGTCACAAATTTATATAATTTAGTCACAAATTAACGATTTAGTTAATCACATAATATTTTTGGATCACAAATCAAAATTTTTATATATTACAAATTATTTTTCTGTCACAATTTGCTCATCTTTCACGAATCAAAAATTTATAAGTCACAATTTAATTATCGATCACAAATCACAAATATTATAAATTACAACGTATTATACAAAATAAATTATCAAATTATCGGTCACAAGTTTAACAATTTTTAAGGTCACAAATTATTTTTTGGAAACAGATTAACCAATTTAATAGTCACAGTTAACCAAATAATTTGTGACCATCACCAACTCTTGCCACTACCATCTTACCATTGCCTCCAGCACCACCACTATCGTCGTCGTCAAATCCACTACCACGAAACAACCCCACCCCCTCACAAAAATTCGTCAACAACACTACACATTGCCAAAGTCATCACCATCGCACACAACACTGTGCCCCATTGTACACATTACCATACCACCAGTCGCACGCACCTATAGCACGCCACCATCATATCCACAACACTACAAC